TGATTTTGTAATCTCGCTAGTCCACCTGCCTTGCAAGGTTAAGAGACAGATGCTTATTTAAATGTGAGTCTAATGTTATACATACAAGGCAGAACTTTTGGCTATGAGTCACCCCTTTAACATTACGTGTGTTATTTGACAAAATTATATAATATTTTAAAAAATATTCAAAAAACAGCTTTAAACAGAACTTTAAGTTAGAGAAGAGATCATTATCAGGAGGCTAACGATGTCTTAATGCAGCATATCCTTGAGCTGTGCCTTATTCCATGGGACGCTAATTAGCTTAGTTCTTTACTACCATAGAAACACAAAGCTTTTTTTCTCTTCTCATACCTACTGGAATTTGTGAAATATCCATTGGTTTTCTCTGTGATATTCCTGCTCTTAATTCTGAGATGGATCCTTGGACACCCAACGACCGTGAATGTGGCTGTTAGCCACGGCACAGAGTGGAATGATTCCATTCTCACCACCCACTGGAAAGCAATCTCAGACCATAATGGGAAACTCAAATAGCAAATCTGTGGTTATAAGCATGTCTCTGGAAGTCACGAGTCAGCAACAGGCTCAGTTGAGCAGTGAGATAGTTTAGCTGGAGGTCACAGAGACTACAGTGAAGGAGGACTGTCACATCCTCGCAGCCTCAGCCATTTGTCTCTGTGGGGGGAGGAGCCGGAGAGGAAAAATGAAAAGAAAGTTGATACAAGGCACACAAAGAGGAGAGGAAGATGAAGGAGAGGGTGAAGTGTTGGTGAGATGCTTTGTATAAGTCGGTGGTGAGATTACAGAGTTTGTGGAGGCTTGAGATATTTCCAGCAACAATGGAACATGATAGCAATCTGTAGCATCAATGGTAAACACCAGGTTTTGGTGTCAGAAGAGGAAACATAGAGATCAGTTTGTACAACCACAGGAGAAGGAAATGGAACAGAATACAATGCAACTGTATCTCTCATCTTTGTAAGTTTGTCTTGTACTGTATAGAATGTGAAATACTACTCCTTTTCAGCGGTATGGGATGTTCTCTGCTGTGGTTGTCGGAACAGTAGGACCACTCTTCTCTTCTCAATTTTATTCGGGAATGGAAAACCATCACTATCACACTTTGTGTATAAGTCTATGTAGAAAAGCTGAAAACAACCAGTTCTCCTCTAAAAGAAATCCCTCAGAGAGCACATGCTGTACATCCACCGAAGATCTAGCAAAGCAATTTCAAGCACAAACTTCTTGTTCGGCAATTTCCACTCCCTATCGAACATTAAATTAAAGAATGTAAACACGATCACAATCAGGTAAATGCTCACCATAGCCTGACCTTACCTGCAGAAAATTGCGACTAACTCCAAATCAACGTCACTGAATTTCACTTGAACTTCAAAAACAAGAAACCATGTTGTTGCAGGCTGGTGTTGGGTCAGTTGCACTGCTGCAATGCAAAAAAGCCACAAGCAGTACCACATCTCAAAGCAGCTGAGCTTGCAAAAGGTGGGGTCAGTCATTTTGGAATAAGATAACATAGAGACGCGTTGGGTTATGGTAAATAGGAAACAAACAGGTAGCTGTTGTAGCAAATGGATTCCATAAAAATGCATATTGGTGCACATTATAATTGTGCTAAATGTGAGTTTCAGTGGAGAGTTTCTGTATGCCAGTGGTCTAAAGTTACGCAGCAAGAGTTTTTGTTTATTCTGGAAAGAAGAAAATACTGGAAGTAACTGGAAACTTGGAGTTGTCTTTTAGCTAGAAAATTGTTGCCAGCAGTTTTAATTGAAAAATGGGGGTCTTAAAAACGTACAATACACCCACCCCCAGTGAAGCCCCCTCATATTTGGAAGTCATTAGTTCAACAGGCAGGCAGCATTATGCTGATGGTGGTGAAATGATAATTAGAGCTGGAGATAGATTGAGTCAATATAAGTGTAATTAATTTTTAAGTGTGAGGTTTATTAGTACAGAGGCAATCAGGCTCCTAATGAGGGCCTGATAGAACGTCTTAAATAGTGGAACCAGTCAAATTAATAGCTCTAATAGCTTCTGGCATGAGACTCTGCTTTTATTTATTGCACTTATGCATTCGTTTGTATATTTAGCAGTTTTTTTTTCCAAAAACCCGGGTGATCATTTGCACGGATAAATTGTTTCTTTGGATTCATAAACTAAAAGGAAGACAAGCTGTCGCACATACATTACACACACACACACACAGATATCATACTCACACACCCTATGTATGTCACTATAAATAGATTTGTCAGCCCATTCAGGCACATCTTTCAAATCATGTCATTAATTAAGCTTAGAAATACTCAAGTAATTTCTCTTTAATGAACTTGCTCAATTAAGTATGCCCTCTTTTTGGTTTAATCCTCCTCGCTTTAAGAACTGGCTAACTACTCTTTCTCACTGTCTCTCCCCACACTCGCTCTTCCTTTTGTTCAGTGGAATACAGTCCTCTGCTGGCTCTCCTCAACCTGAAGTTTCTCGTTTGTTAGTCTGAGCCATGTTGATTAATCACTCCCTGCACGCTTACAGAACAAAACGCAGTCATCTGCACTGCCAGCCTGCTTCCAGCAAAAGGTGGCGAGATGTACACTCAAGATTTTCAAGTAGACAGGTGAAATGTCACCTCATGAATGATGCATGCAGCTATATAGGCAATCAATAACAATATGCATTGATTAACCAAATGTAATCTAAATGACTTGTGGTTGAGTAATTATGGACTGTCAGAGTTAAACATTTTGATGTTAAATTACATTATTTTTTCACAAGGTCAGATTTGAGCTTTATTTATACACATTTATTCCTGTTTTTGACCACCAACATATTTCCTAGACAAGTGACCTCTAGTGGTGGGGCAAATAATGACAGTGACGTATATAATGTATAACCTCTCAGGGCTTGGTCCCACCAAAATACAGCCATCAGCCATATCATTATGACCACTGACAGGTGTAGTGACACTGATTATCTTATTATCATGGCACCTGTCAGTAGGTGGGATATATTAGACAGCAAGTGAACATTTTGTCCTCAAAGTTTATGTGTTAGAAGCAGGAAAAATGG